ATATGTCTGGATTAAAGTATACTTTGCTAATTTTCGAAATTCCATTTTGATGTTCTACACGTATTTTGACACTAATGTTAACCGATGTCAGAAAATAGTCATAAAGTTGTGTTAAGCTTTTTACTTGGGGTTAAAATTAGATACGTCATCAACTATCTCACATAAGCTTGTATTGATTTGCCCCCACGTTCGAGTAAGTCTATAGACTTTAGCTTGTTGTATGCTATTTGGTAACATATATGCAACAATAGCTTGTAGACTATCCTTGGAACAACGCAGCACTGAAGCATGACTAAGCAACTAAGTCATTTAAAAGAACTGGGCAAAACCCTTTTCACAATCGTTCTCACATTTCTATAGGTAAGTCTCAGATTATCCACTTTCAACATGTGTTCTGACTTAGCCTAGGGGTCCAAATGCAGATATTTTTTATATAAAAAGCACATTCCTTAATCCTGAAGGTTAAAGGTAAAACCGCTGTAAATCACAATGAACACTTTATATTTGTAACGAATTTATCATTATGTATTTTTAATATGAACGTTGTTTGGATTGAATTTGTATTTAGAAATATGCGTGACTTTTAATATCAGATGTGTTGCATATAACGAATTTGTTATATATTTATTTTAATGTCAACGTTTGTTTCGAATAAGTTTATGTTTGAGGGTGTGTATAGCTTACCGTGTTAGTTACGTATGGCGAAACTCCCGCCAATTCTCTAAGATTGTAGAATATTCGTGAACACAAAAATCAACAATATATCCACTTCCGTAACCAGTATTATCAGAAGTTTCTAGAAAATGTGTCTCGCCTATAAAAACAGAGAACACAGAGACAAGTCTACTAGAAAACTGTTATGACCGTGTAAGCTATAAACTGATTTTGCTAACCCTTATCAACCGGAAAATATGACATTTGACCAGGAACAGTTATACATTTCGAACGTCAGCGAGTTCTCTTCCAAAGTGAGTATCCTTCTAAAAATATTGCTGGTTTCTCATCGGACATTAGTGGTTTTATGGAAATATTATTTTACTTCGATGGTCCAACACTTCAGTGCCTGACAAAGCTAGGTAGCCTCCCGATAATTGTACGTACATCGACTTCAAACTAACTCGTTGGATTTCAAGGAGATTGAACTAGGAAGACGATTTTAGGTTTTTTTGCAAGTTAGTGAAATTTCTGTTTATGAATCTTAGTTTGTAATAATTAATCGCAATAGTTGCCATTGTGTGTATGCGTGTGTGTGTGTGTGTGTGTGT